GTGAAGGGAAGTTAGGGGAACCATTCACCTTTATTCACCTTGTTTGGGAACACTAAGAAGGTGAAGTTAATTCACCCTAGTTCCCCTTGGTTCACCCCCTAATAGTATATAAATTTGTTACCCCCCAAATTAGGGTGTAACCAAGGGGAAGGGAACTCCCTTCCCTTCCCTTCCCTTCTCTCACCCTTACAAATCCAAACAGGCCCCTAGTAAAAAATAGTGAGAATAGGTAAAAGTTGACCCATGGACACATGCTCAAGATATAGTTACAAAAGGTACTAAAAGCATGACATAGTTTATTCTACATACCAAATTTCGAGTGGATTAACAGATATAAGATTAGTATACATACTCCTCAAATTTGGGTGCGCGTGACCCTTAATTGAGTGTTAATTTGTAGCAAATTATGGTCGTGACTGTTAAAGACTTGATCTTGTTAATTTGGAGTCAAGGGAGGAGAGACTTGTAGTGACGTTTACATTTTCACACAAAATGTATTATTTTGAAAAGGCTTTTGGATAAAATTTTATCATCTCTATTAATTTCTGGGTATTATAGGATAAGAAAATGAAAAGAAAGTGATTCATTACAAAAAGGCAAAGACAAGCTTGTATCTATTTCTGCGGATAGGATTAGAGAGCATATGCCAGGGAAATGACTTATTACAAGAAATTAATAGGAATACTTTTAATTTTGTATCTAAAATTGATTTCTTTTCCTTTTATTTTAAGAACACTACGCCCCCTTCAAAAATAAATAAATAAAGAATCTTACGCATCTATATATTAGGATCGTTGGGATCCACAATCTATATACTAGGATTTTTAAGATTTTAGCTTACACTTGCCTCTAAATAAAAGGATTTTGGAGTGCAAGAAAACAACTAGCAATCCAATCCGATGGCGCGTTGCTCTTCTAGCAAAAAGAAAATCGACGCCTCTCGCAATCTTCTTAACTCGAAACAATTAAACAAATGTCAAAAGGAACAAATTCAATATGAAACAATTACGTGCGCACGTACGATTATTGACTGTAAATAGGCCTCCTGGCTTCAACTGCTGTTCCAAAGTCCTTCACAAATCACGACTCACGACCGCATTTGGGCGCACGCAGGGTAAGACGGAATAAATGAAGAACAGTTAATGAAAGCCACAGAGTAAGATGAATTAATTAAACACAGAAATAAAGCTAGTCCATATATATGTAGTTGGATACTTTAATTTGATTCTTCTCTTGAATTAAACCTGAATATGCCTTAAATATTCATTTCTAAATCACATTTTTGAGAGAATGTCTGATCGATCACAGTTTCGTAGCAACGACGTATCATTATATTCTCCATGATATATAAGCTCAAATCACATTGCACGCGTCGAATATGTTTATAATGAGGGAACTTCTTTACTTAAGATAACATAAGCAATACATACACACACACACACATATATATATATATATATATATATACTTTATAAGCTGCTAATTAATGGGAGGAACCTCTTTGTTTATAACTCTACGTACGGTTGGTTACAGCGATGCCATTGTGCCTGTATATATCATATTATTCTCGGACATGATAGCAAGAAAATTTGAAAAGGGAAAAGGCAACTTATATGCTCATGAGAGAGAGAGAGAGAAATAGTTCAAAAGATTTTTGGATCGTAATGTTTGACATTTTCCAAAATCTTTAGATGTTTGAGTTAAAAATGATAGTGAGAATGGGAAAAAAGATGACCCATTGACACATGCTCGAGATATATTTACAAAAGGTACTAAAAGCATGAAATTGTTTATTCTACGTACCAAATCTTATTAGCATATGCAGATCTTGGGGTGGGATTGGGATCCTCTACTAATGAGGACCCTTTCTAAGACATCCTCATGAGATCTTGACCTTTGATTTATCAATCAAAGGTCATGATCTCCTCATGAGGAAAAGTAGGGAGGAAAAAGAGAATGAGATCTTGACCTTTGATTGATAAATCAAAGGCCAAGATCTCCTCATTAGGAGATCTTAGGAGGATCCTCATTAGTAGAGGATCCCAATCCATATCCTATCAAAGTAGGATATTAGCTCTTCCTCTCGTCAGCTCTAGGACTGCGCGTCGAGGGACCCTAAAAGCTATTACAAATCACACAAAAGCAGTACAACCAATTTTTACGTGGTTCGGCAAATTGCCTACGTCCACGGGGCAAGGAGGGGGGAGATCTACTAATAGAGGGAGAGAATACAACTAGGGTTTACAATCACTCAATCTAAACCCTCACACAATCTCTCAAATCCCTCACACAATTATCTCACTCAAGGGGATGCACAAAACCCTAAATAAGGGGGCTGCTCAAAACCAAAAATCACAAAAGAAATCTCCTGCACCTTGCTCTCTCCCACAGCCGCACAATAGCACCAACCTTCTGCTCTCTGTCAGCTTTTCCTGTTTGCACAAAGTCGCCGCCAGTGAAACAAGAAAAACCAACTAATTGCCTGCCTCCTTGCACTAACTATCACGAAACCCTAGGCAAACCTATTTATAAGTGAATTTGCGGTCAAATCAAAAAAAAAAAATCATGACCCGAAACTATGGCCTTCTCCGCGACTTAGCATTGCACCCGCATGCCTTTGTATGCACACGTGGGTTATGGGCCCACTTTTCACAATTCTCCACCTCGGTGAAGTTTTTCCAAAACTGAGCCGACACCAAGGCATCCAAATGTCCCACTTGTTGTGTCCAGTACGAACTCAAACCAAGTCGAGAACCCAAACGAGAGTTCAAACAATCTCACCCCCATCGAATCATAAAGACTGCCTACGTATCCTCTTGCCTAAGGAATCAAGCCGAACGTAGTTCATCCAAATGGCCGCCAACGGCCTCAACAATCACGAATGTGCAACAAGTTTCGACAATGATCAAATTTGTTGCTCGCAACCACCTTAGTGAGCATATCTTCCGGATTATCCTTCGTGTGGACTTTAACAATCTCCACATCGCCATCTTCAAGAACATCCCGAACGAAGTGATAACGAACGTCAATGTGCTTCGTCCGCGCATGAAAAACCTGATTCTTCGCCAAATAGATAGCACTCATGCTATCACAATGAATAGTGCGATATACCAAGTTCCTCCAAAAGTCCTCGAAGCCAAATAGCCTCCTTCACGCCTCCGTAACTGACATATACTCTGCCTCCGTCGTAGACAAAGCCACCGTCGACTGTAAGGTGCATCTCCAACACACCGGCGCACGGGACAAAGTGAACACATACCCCGTCATAGCAAACCAACATTGAGCGTACCTCGAATGTACCTCAAAATCCATTTCACGGCGTCCCAATGACCCACTCCTGGATCGTGCATGTATCTCGATACCATGCTCACCGCCTGTGACAAATCTGGTCTCGTACCCATTGCGTACATCAAGCTCCCAACCGCGCTCGCATATGGAGTCTTCGACATCAACTCACGATCTTCAACTGACTTCGGTGAAAGACCAGCTGAAAGCTTCAAATGGGCTCCCAATGGTACACTAACTGGCTTCGTATCCATGCTAACATGGAATCGCTGTAGAACCTTCTTCAAATAAGCCACCTGTGTCAAACAAATTCTACCCTTCTTCTTGTCTCTGCCGATCTCCATCCCTAAAATGCGCTTCGCCTCACCCAAGTCCTTCATCTCAAATTCATTTGAAAGCTGAACTTTCAACTCATCTATAGCCGACCTGGAAATAGAGGCAACCAACATGTCATCGACATAGAGCAACAAATAAATGTACGCACCTCCTTTCAACTTGCGAAAATATACGCAAGGATCAAACTGGCTCCGAGTGTACGAATGACCAAGCATAAAACCATCAAATCGCCTATACCACTGTCGAGGAGACTGCTTCAAACCGTATAGCGATTTCTTCAGTTTGCAAACTAATTTTTCTTTCCCTGCAGCTCGGAATCCCAATGGCTGAGTCATATATATTTCTTCATCAAGATCACCATGAAGAAATGCTGTTTTCACATCCAACTGATCTAATTCCAAACCATAATGTGCCACCAAAGCTAGCAAAATCCGAATCGAAGAGTGCTTCACCACCGGAGAGAAAACCTCATTATAGTCAATACCTTCCTCCTGTGCATATCCCTTCACAACCAACCTAGCTTTGAATCTCAACGGAGTGCCTTCAATGCCCTCCTTCTTTGTGTATACCCACTTGCAACCAATTGCCTTCCGCCCCTTTGGAAGCTCAACAAGCTCCCATGTATCGTTCTTCGGCACCTGCATGGATACTGTACCATCTGGACAATGTGGAGCCGCATCGATCTCCACCACCTGCGATATTTCCTCTGTCGGATCGCTCTCCACCTGATGAGAGCTGGGAAGCTTCAAGATAGAAGTCTCATCAAACGTGACGTCCCTACTCAACACAATCTTCTTATCCACTGGATCCCAAAGCTTGTATCCCTTGACACCATGCTTGAATCCCACAAATATGGCCTTCCTAGCTCGATGTTCCAATTTATCAGTTCTAACATGATAATATGCAGGGCACCCGAATACCTTGAGCTGGTCATAGTCATGTGCTGGCTTTCCCGACCACATCTCCATAGGGGTCTTCCCCTCAATCGCAGATGAAGCACTGCTAGAATACGAGGTTTTGCCGACGGAATTATAGCGACGGAAAATTCCGTCGCTATAACCCGGGTAATAGCGACGGAAAATTCCGTCGCTATTTTTCCGTCGGCAAAATATTTTTACCGACGGAAAAATAATTTTTAGCGACGGAAATATTTGTCGCTATTAATTAAACTTTTAGCGACAGAAATTCCGTCGCTAAAAGCTTTATTAGCGACGGAAATTCCGTCGCTAAAAGTTTTTTAGCGACGGAATTTCCGTCGCTAATAAAGATGAGCTGGCAAAAAAAAATGGGCGCGGGCGTGCCCAAAAAATTTGGGCACCCCGCGCCCGAGAGAGGGATTTATCCCAAATCCCTCTCTCAGATCTCATTCCCCCTTCCCCCCCCCCCTCCCCCTCCATCCCCCCCTTCTCGTTCTCTTCGCCGGCGTCGGACCCGCGCCGCCGCCCTACCACCGGCACCGACGAGCAGTCTCCAATATCTCGCGCGAGAGTGAGAGTGCAGCTGCTGTGCTCTTCTGTGCTGCTGATGAGGCCGCCCTCTGCACTTCCTACGATCACAAGGTCTCCTCTTTTTCTCTTTTATTTTTTAATCCCTTTTCATGCTCATTAAATTTCTATATGAATGCTCTATATACACTTTTGAGGTTCCTAATTGCGGAATTTTAATCCCAATTGATTTGGGTCAGTTGGGTATTTGCCCAATTGAGGTCTTTTGAGATTGATCTAATGATCAAATGTGCAGAAAACTTGAAGTATTTGCTATACTCTGTATCAAATTTTTGGGAAATAATAAGGAATCATCACATAATGCCCACACATGTAGAACCTTGAACAATTAAATCCTGTTTTTAAGATAATAGAAAGTGTATAGTTATCATAACAAAATTATAGATTAAAGACTGGCAATTCAATTTTTAATTTTTTAATACACATATATCGGCACAGCTACGATCGTGGTCTAGGTTATGAAGATTTTACTAATCTCCAAGTTTTCGAGGATTGCAGATTTTAGGGGTTTCTTGACTGCAGCTTTTCTTTCTGCCATGTTAGTAGTTTGATAAATATGGACGAAGTCCGTGTAAAATATTTGTACGATGGCAAATGAACTCTAGTGTCGGCTTCTTCTGTTGATGCACCATCTCTGACAATAGAGTCAGATGAGCATGTGAATTTCTAGGAAAGCTAATGAGTTCATCAACTATATGATTGGTTTTGACAATTGTTATCTTTTTGTGAATTCACTATTGATCAATGTTTGCTGTCATTTATGAAGCGGAATGGATCTCAACGTCTTTGGCCTTGCTTGCAAACCATGATCAACAAGAAGTTCTTGTCAATTTCAAGAAACTCTGATATGCTATGAAAAGGGCAAACATGTTTATTGGGTAGTCAGCTTGAGCTTAACTGTTTTGTGAGATACATGATCCCTTGAGGGTCCCTTGATTATCAAGCGAGCTTCAGCATCTTGTTATGTCAGACTTCAGGTTCCTATGTTGCCTGACCTAATAAATAGTCTCGCTTTTCTGTCATTGAATTGGGAACTAGATGAGCTAATCAAGTGAAATCCTTCTCCTAATAAATAGTCTCGCTTTTCTGTCATTGAATTGGGAACTAGATGAGCTAATCAAGTGAAATCCTTCTGATTGTTAGAGCAATTAGATGATTTGGATTGAATTGGGAACTAGATGAGCTAATCAAGTGAAATCCTTCTGATTGTTAGAGCAATTAGATGATTTGACATTGACAGCAGATTCATGTCACTTTGGGTTGCTAATTTTCTTTTGGATCATATTTTCGAAGATCAGGTTGGTTTAGTGAATCAAAGGTTTTTTCTGTCTTGAGCTCATAACTTGTATATCAAATTTGTTAGTATGATCCGTATGGATGTTAACATGTAATAACATAATTGTCTACAGGTTTAGTGAATCAAAGGTTTTTTCTGCTTTAATTCTGAGTTTATAAGCTTACACAACAGTTGTAAATGTACACATGCTCGAGTAAGTTAAATACTTAAATGTCATATTGTCCAAGACACAGTCTTCTAAATTTGGAAAATTGGTGATTCTGTCTAATCACTGGATTCTTCTTGGTTTTGGCATCAATAAACTTTTATCTTTATAAACACCTTGCACATTAGGTACTTAGAAAAGAATAATCTTTGTGTACCTACTACTTGATGAATTTGTTTTCACCTTTCTATCCTTTCTATACTTGTTTTCATGAGAAGCTCCTTGTGTATTTATTGCCTTCTAGGAACTATCCATGCATGTATTAGAGCTCATACTTATTTTTACTGGATTACGTGATTTGTTGCTCTCGCTTACTACTTTTATTGTAGAATCAGTTGCACGTTTTCTTACTTATCTCGATTCTATTATGATGGGTTGAGATTATGCATCTAGCTATTTATTGTAAATGTTCCCACCGTTTTAGATTTTTGCAATATAATGCTTCAGGTTACTCCCTACGTCAAATGCATCAAGCCAATATTGAGAAAAGGCTCGGGTCAAGGTACTCTCTCCTCCCTCAATCTGTGATTTCGATTGTAAAGGCCAAGCTACTTCTTTGCATCCACAATCTGTGATTTCGATTGTAAAGGCTGAGCTGCCGCTGATCATTCTGCAGATTGTCATCGTCGTCGCCCTCACTCGGTTTCTTGCTTTCGTTCTTCGGCCTCTTCGTCAGCCTCGTGTTGTTGCCGAAATCATCGTGAGTTCTCAAAAAAAAAATCTCTTTGTTTATATATACTCTTCATGGTTATTTTGATCAATTTTCCTCCATGTTGAATTTTGACTGTATTTAGGATATATTTATTCTGAATAGATGGTAGAGAGTTTTTATTGAAGTATATATTTTTAATTTATTGTTTGAATTTCTATATTGTTTCGAATTGACATTGTTTTGCAGGCTCAAGCTGAAATAGCAAGGAGGAATCGCAACGCGCCTCGCAGTTACGAGCATCACGGGGGCTCCAGGACATTCAGCCAGCATTATCATCAATTAGAGCTTAAGGTATATAATATATTAGCTTTTACGTTGAGTATAATTTATGTGTTATGAGTTAATGATATATTTGAATAAAATAGGGAAGGGGAGATCTCAATCATTTTGCAGATCGTATTCTGACTTCCTGGAGCCCGAATTACGCCAATGAAGAGAAGAAAGCAAAGAATAAGGATCTGGCTGTAAGTAGCAGTTCATTTATATATTCAATTTCATATCAATGCATCATTATTAAGTCGACTTGCCTGGGTTGTTTTGATATATCGCAGGAGAAATTACATACCAAAGTACAGGAGCAATTGACTCAGTCTCAGGTCTGTTCTAACACTCCTGCCCGGCTAAGTAGAGAGGATGAGGACTCCATCATCGAGACGGTCATTGGACCTAGTAGGAACAGATATCGGTGGAGAGGATCCGAGCAGAGGCCGCACGAGTCTAGTAGCACCTACGAGTCTGCAGCACCACAAGGAACACCAGGAAGCAGTTCATATCAAGACTCGATGGAGCAGCGATTAAAAGCGATTGAAGAGAACGGAGGCGTCGGGAGCAGACCGAATTGGAGTTCACACAATTCATGTCGACTCTGCCTCAGGAGGCTCAGGAGGCATATAGGAGACATTTTCTGTCGTCACAGGTAATATATATACTTTGCTTTTTTTTAATTAGATGATATCGTACATACTGATACACACGAATACATACTGTTACACACAAACCCTAACTCTAACCCTAACACAAACCTCAAAATATATACTTATAATGTTTTTATGTGATGGTGGTCTTGATGGTGTATGCGTGCGTAGTGTTGGTGGTATTGGTTGGTGGGTTGGTTGGTTGGTTGGTTGTGGTGTTGTGTAGTGGTGGTCGTTATGTGATTGGTTTGTGAGGGGTTTTGTCGTGGTGGGGGGGAGGAATGGGGATTGGGTGTTGATGGTGGTGATGGTAGTGATGGAGGGGGAGGGGGTGTGTAGAGTATGATTGGTTGGGTTGTGTTGTGGTGTGGTGATGTGTTGTGCAGTGTAGTGTTGTGTTGTGTTGTGATGGTGTAGTGTTGTGTTGTGGTGTTGTGGTGTGTTGTTGTGTTGTGATGTTGTGGTTTTGTGTTGTAGTATATTTATATTTGTACTCTTATTAATGTTTACACACACTTGTTAACATTTGATTTATATTTACAGGCCGGGACTTCTTCACAAGGTGCAGTCGGGGGTAGTCATAATGTGGCTGGTGTTGAGGATGAGGATGATGATGATCAGGAGGATTGATTGTCCTTAATATAACTTTAAAAACAATTTCTTGTGTTGTATAAACAATATTTATTATGTACCCGTCGAGAAACTTTTACTTGCTTTTATTGAATTAAATGTGTGATATATGCGTGAGATGTGATATTTGCTTGAGATTGAAGCTTTCTTCTGCTGATTGAACAGGTTTTTAAAAATTATTATCGATATTGTACAGGGTTTTTTCAATTTTCAAAACATTTTGCAAATTCTTTTTTTTTAAAATTTTTAGCGACGGAAATTCCGTTGCTAAATATAATTTTAGCAACGGAATTTTCGTCACTAAATAAGTATTTAGCGACGGAAAACGTGTATGAAATCATATCTGTTTTTTTAAAAATCAATAGGGGCGGATTTTCCGTCGCCAATAAGTTTTAGGGACGGATTTTCCGTCCCTAAAAATCATATCTGTTTTTTTTAAATCAATAGGGACGGATTTTCCGTCGCCAATAAGTTTTAGGGACGGATTTTCCGTCCCTAAAACTTTATTAGCGACGGAAAATCCGTCGCTATTTTTTTTTAATTTTTTATTTTTTAAAATTAGCGACCATTTAGCCGTCGCTACTAATCCGTCGCTAAAATTTAGGGACGGAATTTCCGTCGCTAAAAGTGTTTTTAGGCACCCCTGTTATAGCGTCGAAGTTTTAGCGACGGAAATTTATTTTTTCCGTCGCTAAAACTTTTAGCGACGGAAAATTGACTTATAGCGACGGATTTTTCCGTCGCTAAAGGTTGAAAATCCAGCAGTGAAGGCAGCCTATTAATGAGGTGGCTCGCATATGTAAGTGCCTCAGCCCAAAAGATCTTCTCCAAACCACTCTGCGACAATAAGCATCGGATCTTCTCCAGTAAAGACCGATTTAATCTCTCTGCCACCCCATTTTGCTGCGGTGTATGACTAACTGTGAAGTGTCTCTCTATGCCCTCGTCTCGACATAGCTGCTGAAAGGGGTCAGAAGTATATTCACCACCGTTGTCGGATCGCAACGTCTTGATCTTTCTCCCAGTCTGCAGTTCCAATCTCTTCTTCCACTCCACAAACAAATCTAGGACTTCACTCTTCTTCGTCATGGTGTACACCCAACAACGCCTAGAATAGTCATCTACAAAAGTGACGAACCAATGTCTACCACCAAGTAATGCAGTCTTGGTGGGACCCCAAACGTCTGTGTGCACGTAATCCAGGATGCCACTCGTCTGATGAATGGCAGTCCCGAACTTCACCTTCGTCTTCTTGCCAAGAACACAGTGCTCACAGAACTCAATCTTCCCACTCTTGGCTCCCTTTAATAGCCCATGCTTGCACAATGCCTGCAGTGACTTTTCACCTGTGTGCCCCAACCTATAGTGCCAAAGTCTGCTCATGTCCGCTTCTGAAATAGCCGAAGCAACCTGGCCAATCTCGATGCTTCCCTTCAGATAATAGAAATTCCGATTGCGGACTCCCCTCATCACCACCAATGATCCCTTAGTAATCTTCGCTACAGCGTTTTCGAAAGTCACCTTGAATCCCTTCGCCTCCAAAGCTCCAACTGAGATAAGATTTTTCTTCAGTTGAGGAACAAATCTCACCTCCTTCAACTCACGGATTACTCCATCGTGCATCCTAATCCGTACGGTACCTATCCCACAAACGCCACAGGATTGATCATTTCCCATGACAACAACGCCCCCGTCGACTTTCTCAAAAGATGCAAACCAGTCTCGCCTAGGGGTCACATGAAAGGTAGCGCCGGAATCAAGCATCCAATCTGATGCATCCACATGGTTCACCTCCGGAGTAATCAGTAGAGAAAAGCACGAATCATCGGAATCATCGCCTTTCGCAATGTTCACCTCATTGGCCTTCGGGCCCTTTTTCTTGCCATTCTCTTTCTCCTTGAGCTTCGGGCAGTCTCTCTTCCAATGTCCCTGCTCCTTGCAGAATGCACATTGGTTCTTTGTTAATTGGTGGCGGCCTCTAGACTTTGACCTTCCTCTATTACCACCTTTCGGATATGGGCTTCTACCTCTCGTCGACAAGGCCTCTCCTGAAGTACTAGCGCGGGAAGTCTCCTTATCCTTCCTCCTCAAATCGTAGTTCGTCAAAGCGTTAGTCACTTCACTATAGCTGATAGAAGATCTCCCGTTCAACAAAGTGAGCACGAAGGTATCATACTCCTCATCCGGTAAGGAGCCCAACAAAATAATCGCCTTGTACTCATCCGATATCTTCTCATCAACATTCGCCAAGTCCGACAACAACTTCGTATAGTTGTTCACATGAGCCGCAAGCGAGGTGCCTCTGGACATCTGGAATCTGAATAACCTACGCAGCAAGTGCAATCGGTTCTCAACACTCTTCGTAAGGTACTTATTGTTGAGAATTTCCCACATCTTCATCGCAGACGTCACCCCAATCACATCATACTTCAGCTCCTGTTCCAAACAGGACCTGATCACCCCACAAGCGTTCCTATTCATTTTCTCCCATACCGCCTCTTCATATTTAGGTGGCCTCTCGTGGACCATGATGGTCTCTTCCAAATTCTGAGCATTTAACGCATCCTGTATGTCGCCCATCCACAAACCAAAGTTGATTTTTCCGTCATATTTCACCACACTTATTTTGGTGTTTTGAAAACCAACTTGTATTGTACCCGCCATCGATTTGCTGCTTTCACCTTCTTCTCCCATTGCGAACTAACTCCAAATTGTAGAGAAAGAACAAATTTGATAGAATTAGGAACCACCCAACTGAACCCTAGATCGGATTCCAAATAGATCTCCTATCCACACGAGGAAAGCGAAATCTCCAACGGCAACTCCTAATGCTATCTCCACCGAAGCCGAGAACTCCAAGAACTAAGCTTCACACAAGAATCTTCCTCCACCAAAAAACCCTAGATCTGAAATCTGGGCTCTGATACCACTTGTTGCGCGCAGCGGAAATTTCGGCAGCACTTCGGCAGCACAACAAGAGAGTCAGGTCGCAATAAGAATTCTTGTGACCCGAAACTATGGCCTTCTCCGCGACTTAGCATTGCACCCGCATGCCTTCGTATGCACACGTGGGTTGTGGGCCCACTTTTCACAAGTTTAACATTAAAACTACTATTATTGATTCACTTTGAAGAAAGACTTGTGGGGGCAATATCATGAAGCACTATGTGTCCACGGTCCATTTTATCCATATGTTTACTTGGACCAATGAGTACCATATTGAAATCAGACAATATAGCAATAGAACTTGAAAATAGAAGGCAGCATATGGCAACATTGAAGAATTGCATATTCTCTTA